TATGGACGTATAACTGTACAGTCGAACTGTACAGTCGAACTGTACAGATAAATCGTAAGGTTTGTAGAGCAACTGCGACCGCCTGGTTGGCCGTATGGTCGCAAGTGTGATTATCCGACAAGTGGTCCCGGGTCAGACAAAGTATCTATTACTGGTTTTTTTTTAATCTCAGTAGTAGCTCGGAGTCTGGAATTGTGTCTGGTATATGGTAATAGACTCACTCCCTATTAGATACTTGGGACTCATAACATAATAACGCTTCTCGGCCTTTTGGCTAAGATCAAAGTGTAGTATATGCATAGGATGGGACACCGTTCCCAAAAAACAACACAGAGAAGTTTTAACACAGTTACCATTATCTTAACGGTAATTAAGTCTGATACATTTATTAATTCACTTATATTTACTGAATTGACTCACACTTAAAACTTTAGAAGAATGGCTTTAGTTTTTATGTTAATCTATTTTTCCATGCAGAACATTAAACATTCGTGTCGTGGTGGCCCGGATGTTTAAGACGCCCGCTTCTCATGCATGAGGGTACGGGTTCGAAACTTACCAACGGCAAGTACCAATGTTACTTTTTCCGAGTCATATGTACTTTCTAAGATTATTTAGACACCACTGACAAACGGTGAAGGAAAAACATCGTGAGGAAACCTGGGCTTATAATGTCTAATTATAAGTTTGAAATCACCAACCCGCATTGAGCAAGCGTGGTTATTAATGCTCTAACCTTCTTCGTGTGAGAAGAGGCTTTGCTCAGCAGTAGGCATTTATAGGCTGTTGATGATGATTAAACATTCAAGTTTACTCTTGTTTTAAGGGGGGAAAATCATCGAATGACTTTTCCCGCCTGGGTGAGGCGGGAGGGCGTGTCGTATTCTCACTTACTAGAAACCACCCCGTTCCTACTCCTGCACTTCGAGCCGGAGTCCCGGTAACCTCCTATTACTGAAACTGTTGTTATAAAAATGAACGAAACGAAATTAAACTCGATAACACTAATCTCCTCGCGCGATGGTCAACAACATCAACAGCTTAATTCGGCCCACTATGGGTCTCCGTCATATGAAGGTATCTATTTTTTAAGGGGAAAATCATCGAATGACTGCTCCCGCTTGGGTGTGGCGGGAGGGAGTGTCAGACTCTTACAGACTAAAAACCACCCCGTTCCTTCTCCTGCCTTCGAGCCGGAGCCCCGGTAACCCGTTAGGTTCTCCGCGACATATGAAGGTATAGAGAGGTTACCTACCATAGTAGATTGCTTTCAATAAGGTTTGCCATGCCCATACTTAATCTCCTCAATATAACAGGTTACCAAAAAGAGGGTTGGCGCGGTGTCTGGACAACTGACCACCGCGCAACGTATCGCGGTTTCGATTCCCGCACGGAACAACTCTTTGTGTTATCCACAGATTATTGTTCCGGTTCTGGGTATCATTGTGTTTCATGGGTGTCATGTGTGAACTTGTATGTATGTAAACGCACCCACGATACAGGAGAAACTCCTAGTGTAGGGCAACGTTGTAAAAAAATCCTAATCGTACCGCGCATTTGTTAGACTCAACTAAAGGACTACACGTTCACCAGTACAGTGCCTGTTCCCGTTAAGTTTTGGGAATAAAAACTATTCTATCGAGAGACACTTACTGATAAACATGAACCTTTTAAAACTGTCGTCTCCAACCCAACTACAACTTGTAGAGACTGGCAAATTATGTATGTGTGCGTGTGACACATAGTCCACCAAAGGTCTGTCACGAGCTGTTGTAGTGATACACTGCTAGCCTTACGAGGCCACAAAGCTAGTTGTTAGTATTACCTAATAACAGGTACCTAACCATTTAAAATATCTATTGAAAAGCAACAGCTGTGTAACATTCAATATTTACTTAATACCTTTAAACAAATAATAATTAAAATTCCAAATCAATAATAACGCACAAAATATTTGTCTACAGCTGAAAATGTTTGACATCAATGAATGACTGGAACAAATCATACCAGTTGATTGTCCGTTAAAAGTAAATAAATATGATGATATATTACACAATTGACGTCATGATTGATCAACCTCATCATATCAGCCTCAAGTCGTCCAATGCTAATAGAATTATTAATAGAATTATTTCTAGCCCAATCTAGGACTTTTACTTTTTTTTTTTTATTTTGCTGAACAGAGACCGCCAATAACTTCCAGATAGGCGGGTTGGAAGCCACCTACATCCAGCGGCTCACTTCGACCTCAATCAGTTCGTCTGAACAAGGTGTTCAAGTATTTTTTTTTAATATTTGCTGGGCCGACGTTTGACCACTATCTCGCCTGGTGGTAAGCGATGATGAAGAGCGGTCTACGATGGAGCACGGGGTTTTCTTTGCGAGACATAGCCCAGTGGATTAGCAAGCTGAAGTGGCAGTAGGCATATAGCACGTAGAACCAATAGCCGCTGGAACAGAAAGGTTCTCGAGTGGAGGCCGCGTACCGACAAGAGCAGCGTAGGACATAATAGGCTTACACGAAAAGACTAAAGAAACGACACATTAACAATCCGTGATGAAGATGTCCGTCACTGGTGGAAGATGAGCATCCTCATATACATAAGAGAGACTTGACATAGCATCGCTTAGTCGGAGGGTTAGGTTGGATGTCGCAGTACAAAAGGTTTTTATCAAAGAGCGCTGCAGCGCTGTCTCTGTTAAATATGTAGCCCCTTAGTACTCATAGGACACCAGCGGAAAGAGATGTGTGATAACAAAAGTATCCTATTCTGGCATCACTGCTCTGCTAGCATAATGCTGATTTATTAAAGGGGAAATAGCATCTACATAAGGAGCAAATTTACTGACTAAAAACCACGCCGTTCCAGCTCCCGCTTCGAACCGGAATGTCGTAAGATATTGGCAATACAAAGGCCTTAGTATTTTTCAGCAATTTAAATTGATCTATACAAATGCCTACTCGACACCTCTTTTTTAGCCTTAACCAGGTTTTCGCGACAGTTAAAAAGATAAAAATAAGAAATAATAATTTATTTCTAAAGAACTAATATAATTGCAAATGTAAATTCAAATAGGCCCTTTCTCATTTCAATATTAGGAAAAACAAATTGAACTTTTCATACAAATATTTTTTTTGTAATTTTTCAAAATAAAATTAGCCTATGTTACTCCTTAGTACATCAGTAACTGCCAATAAAAGTCACGTCAAAAGCGATCCAGCGATTTCAGAGATTAGCCAGTACAAACAGACAGACAGAGACAGACAGACAGACCAAAATTGTAAAAAATGATATTTTGGTATGTGTATGTGTATCGTATGTACCTATATTCTTTATATGTGTGTACGTGTAGTAAAATGTGGTTATTTTAACATTACAATTGACACTCCAATTTTATTTATCCGTATAGATACGCGATTTGGGGAAACAAATACGAACACTTCATTTTTAATTACCTTGCACCACGCTTGCCTTGCTTACTCAATTTTAAGTTGAACTTTATAAATGTGCCGTATCTGTCATTTGACAAAAAATTTGTAGTGACAGAACTTTTCTTAAGGGCGTCTTAAACTTGAGTGGCGCTTAGATATTTGACCATGAAGCTTGTAAAAAGTAATCTAGTCGTAGAGTAAGTTCAAATGGCATAAGATCTTTTTTGATTATACGACTATCTGATGTTCTACACCAGTGCCTTTAGCCAAACGCCACTTTAGCGCTTGTCTACAGAGAGAGTAGAAATCAAAATGTATGGGGATGACACTGACAAGTGTCAAAATTTACGTCAATTCCATATAATTTGGTTATCTATTCTACATGTAGACAAGCGCTAAGTGGCATTTGGCTACAGCTGCTGATCATATATCATTTAAGAAGTGGACTAAATTTCTTTCAAAAATTTTGTCTTTTTTAAAAAAAAATTGACAAAAATTCTTTCTATTCGATGTAAGTATCTAACAAATCTTGAAGCATAGTTGAAACTAAGTTTTAAAGAAGTAAAAGTTATATATAATTTCTAAATTGTCATTTGTATGAAAAGCCGCCCAAACAGATAGGTCTTATTTTAAAATAATTATGGTGTGACGAAAAACCGGTAACAGAATTTAAAATTTAAATTCAAAGATAGAAAAATAATTAGCATTTAAATGGGTCCCTATTAATGATTACAACAGAAAAATCCCTTACAATTTAATGTAAAAATATTTAAACAAATTTGAGAAAGAACAATGGCACCATTTTTTACAAAAACTGGACATTCACTTCTTAATTTTCAGTTCTTGAACAAAATACCTCCAAGACCACCCATGACTAAGAATACAAATCTCAAAATCAATGAAAGAGTCTATAACTATTAACTTATAAAGTTCTATTATTCAAATCAGGTTTTTAACTTGATTTTTTTTGAGAGAATATCATCCAATGACTTCCCCCACCCGGTTGAGGCGAGAGGGAGTGTCAGACTCTTACTGACTAAAAACCACCCTGTTCCTACTCCTGCACTTCGAGCCGGAGCCCCGGCAACTCGTTAAGCTCTTCGCGTTTCCGTATCGGCATCAGCCCTATTGGGCCCCATCGGTGGTGGTCTGATGACTCCTTGAGCCGCGCGCGAAGTTTTGATAGACCTACCATCCCAGCAACGTTAGTTACTATCAGCATTAGCTGCCATTACGCATCTACAAATACTGAGATGTTTCTTAGTAAGGAAAACGTAACAAAGATGACACTGCCATAATTCAGCGAAAAACACTGTACACAATATCTAAAAAATCCGGAAAACCTATAATATGATGCCTAAAACTATTTATAGAAAGGTAAAATTAAAAGAAGTACTCACTAACAAAATAAATAGGCAGAACTCAATATTATCTAGCCTACTTAATATGCAGAACAGTTTTGCGGATCCCCAATAAATTCCAAATAAATAGAGACCCGTATTGAGATAAAGTACACATTCCGGAAATTACTTCGCCCTACGCAACTTCAAACACACCAAAGTCAAAAATGTACAAAATTTTCGTCACCTTCATCGTCGCCATGATGATTGGAATGGTAAGTAACTTATTTTTTATTTATCTCACTTAACTTTTCTTACTGATTTTCGCAACAATATCTAGAATAGTTTTCACGGGTAGTCAGAAACCAAAAAAATTTAGCTAAATGGTGATACATTTTGCAAATTAGGCCTTAAATTCTTAAATAGTTAGGTCCATTATTACTGGTGTCGGCCTCCTGCCCCTCGATCTCGAACCTCAAGATCACGAGACCAACTTTTTTAGATTGGTCTTGGATGTAGAAAACAGTCGTTCCACATAAAATACTGAGAGATGCGGTTACGACTACTGCGGTTACCCCTAATCTACGGTAATGGCCAGAAGAAAGTTAGACTCTATCTGGACGTTCAGAGCCTCAGATAATACACCCCAACCGTACCCGTACTGTTGGGAGTCGCAATTCTTTCAATACAGTGGCGTAATTAATTAGTATTAATCATACTTCTTTTGTTTTCAGAGCATCCAACAAGGACGTAAGTATTTCAATATAATTTTACATAAACTATTATTATTTATTTAAATTTATTTCTTGTCAAAAGAGTAGTAAGTATTCGAGCATTAGAAGAAGACCAAAAGTGACCCGGAGATCTTTTCACGTAAACTCCTCAAGGACAGATTTTTTACGCCGACTACCTCTTAAAACTATTTGTTATTAGCAAGATTTCCTCCCTTAAGCTATATTTCACCGGGACACGGGTGGTTTTAGTCAGTAAGAGTCTGAGGCCGTGCGCCATCAATGTGCGACGGGCGACCCGCTGCATGCAGTGCTGATGGGATGGGATTACATACATGAAACAGCACGTCACGCAGGCGCCCGCGCCGTGCGCACACCGACGCAGCGCACGGCCTGACACCTCACCTAGGCGGGAGAAGTCATTCTATGTTTTTTCCCCCTTATAAAAACCCCCGAGATCTTGTCAAGTAAACTATTTGTTATCTGCAAGATTTCTTCCTATAAACTTTAACTGAAGCGAATTTAATTTCCCTTCTCCATCAGGATGATTAGAGTGGAAGGCGTTCAAGGTTATTAATATAGCTTCTGTTTAATTTACAGCAAGTGGAGAAATTGGTATAGGTGGCAGTCAAGAATCATCTGGCAGTGTTGCTGGTAAGTAGCATTTATTAAATAATTACGAATACTACTCTTTTGCCCAGTCTTATGAACCACGCCCAGCCCAGCGTAATTGCTGAACATGGGTTAAGTTCAATCTTTGAAACGATTAAAGTGTAAGAGGTCTGATAACTACACTGTGTAGCAACAAAACGGAGTCACTAGAGCATTTTTTAATTTTATCAAACCCTCCATGACATTAAAGAAAAATATTCCTTTTACACCAAAATGCTCTCATCTTCTGATTACACGGCTTTTTATGCGTCATACATTATCAATTGACAATTCTCCGCATTTATTATATAATAAAATGTTAAATGACAGGTAGTGGAAGCGGCAGCCTGTCTCCTGGTGGTCCAGGAGTCAATGGTTCATTTGGATTGGGTGGAAACGAGGGTGTCAATGGAAATGCGAGCTTGGGCGGCAGTTTGGGCTGATTAAGGTGACAATCCTTACAAACATCTTTCATTTCTATACTCTTTGCAATAAATGTCAAAATTAACTTAGCCGATTTAATGTTGGTGTATTCTTATTCACAATACTATGATATAAGGGAGACCTTATGAAATAGGTTTTCCTGTGGACTACAAAATTGTTATGAAAAAATTAAGATGAAACTTGTTAATAAAATAATACTCAGATAATCTAAGTGTGAGAGAGCCATGCTTCGGCACGAATGGGCGAGCTCGACCGGAGCGATACCACGGCCTTACAGAAAACCGACGTGAAACAACGCTTGCGTTGTGTTTCGTCGTATTATTGCGGTTACTGGAGGACCAATTATTCCCCTCCTCAGTCTCCTCAATCCCCGAATACCCCACAATCCTCCGTCTGCTCGTTTACCGGCGTATCCCATAAAAAACACAGAAACAATTATAAGTACTAGGTATTTAGATCAAAAAAGTTATTATGAAATATATTGTTACAGGGGACAGAACTACAAACATCTGCGAGAAGAGAAGAAACCATGTAGAATGTAAAACCAATTGTATTACGTCACAAATCAAAAGCCATCACAAAAAATGTACAAAACTAAACTCTATATTAATGTTCTATACAGTTGATTATCGACTGCTAGTCAATTTTTTGTTAATGTTAAATACGCACAATGTAAGCACCATTATTTTGTTAATAAATATTTCTTGACAGTAAATATGGTTTAACTTATACCCTAAAACCTTTATTCCATACACAAAACAGGCAAAGCTAGAATTTCCAGATATAGACAAGACGACCGAGCTTGATTTTTATGATAACTATCGTGAGACATACTAAATTAACTAAAAACCGCGGGTTACTCACGTGAATATACTGAGAAAAGCTGCACTAGTTTCGAACCAGTGTGGTAAGTGTGGTAGAACTGGTGAAACTAGTGAATGAACAGGTGGAAGAACTTTTTCCTCCTGAGCTGTGTAGTAGAGGTTCTCTCAGTATGTTCACTTAAGTAAACCGCGATTTTTAGTTGATTTATCTTGAATAGAAAGTTCGGCGCCCCTCGAACCAGGATTATACGAAAATAAAAATATGTCTTTGTCCATACCTAACACGAAAGGGATTTTTTTTAAATTAATTAACTATAACTACCGTAATACCTAAGTATATTGAAATAATTCGCTGTATGTTTCAAGAAACAAGAAAGTATTTGTATGTATGGCGATTTTCATATAAACAAAAATAAGATACATATAATACGAGAACACAAAATATTATGAAGAAGTTTTTGGTAATAATCAATGAAAATAATACATAGGCTGCGGCTGCATGGGGAAGAACCCCTCTATGTTTCGAAACTAGTAGAGCTATTCTCAATATATTCACGTGAGTAACCCGAAATTTTAAGTTAATACATGAGCAGTTTAAGCATTTGATTAAAAAATGAACAGTAATTCATAAAACAAAATATATTTCATAAGCAGAACTCAATACCAGCGACACTGAGTTACGGATCACCAAAAAAAAAATCAAATAAATACAGACGCCTACATATATATCTGTACACATTTCGGTAATTAATTCACTTTACACAAGTTGTCAACACCTGAGCAAAAATGTTGAAACTTTTTATTACCTTTATCATCGCTTTGATGATAGGATACGTAAGTTACCTTAATTTTTACTTAAATCTATCGTTTTTACACTAAAATTATATGACAGTTGTCAATAATAACAAAAAATCTAGTAATCGATCATGTAAATATCGACATTTAGATTAATTCATTATTTTTAACGTGGTCTCGTGTTTGTTATAAGCAATTTGTTGACTGGAATCATATTTCAATAAACATAACATAACATCACGCCTTTTATCCCCGTAGGGGTAGGCAGAGGTGCACATTAAGGCATTTAATGCCACTGTACAATCTAATACCCACTTTTCACTATTTATGTTATGAGTCCCATGTAATAGGGGGTGAGCCTATTGCCATATACCGGACACAATACCAGACTCCGTGCTACTACTGAGATTTTTTTGAAAAACCTATAATACTTTGCCCGACCCAGGAATCGAACCCGACACCTCTTGCCCGGCAGTCGCACTTGCGACCACTCGGTCAATGAGGCAGTCAATTCAATAAAATATACTAATATAATATCGCTTTATTACATTTCAGAGCTTACAACAGGGTAAGTACCATAATTATATTATCAACCAAAGAACTTTCACACATAGAAAGAAAGAAAGAAAAACCATTTATTTTGCTACGACACACAACAAAAATTTAGAAACACCGAAAAAAAGCCCATAGTGCGTCGCAGCGCAAAAGGCTGGAGCTCAGCTTAATACCGTGGTCCGGGCACAGAGGCTCGAGCCCACGGCGCTGATTTTCAGCTCCAGCCCGTTATAATACGTACTAGCTAAACATCTACATTAACGCTGCTCGGAGTACAGCATACACATACACACACATGCACAAATACACACCATTATGTAATTTATGTATAATATGTATAGTATGTTATATAGTTATTAATTATTGTACACTTGACGACCCATATCAGACTCCTATTACTGATCCATCCAAAGGTTGTCTGTAAGAAATCGCCCTGTGCGATAAGACCGCCCATTGTACACTATTTTTGTTAATATTTATCCTATAACGTGATTGTGTGGTGTTCAATAAAGCATATATTATTATTTCCATATATTTATTTATGTTCAATAAAGCATATATTATTATTTCCATATATTTATTTAAAATTCTCAATAAATTACATTTTTAAATACTACTTACAATAAAATAAAAAAAAATAATTAAGGATTCCTCCTTAATTATATATTTCCGGTAGTTATTCGTAAGGATGACTTCGTCCATTATTGCACAGACAAATCCTTCAGTTTCCCCAAAGAGATTACTGAATCGTAGCCAAGACACGGACGCTAGAAAATCTACACTGGGCCCATGAAGGGCCCGGAAGAAGCGTTTTATTATTAACTTTCTACTTTTTCCATTCAAAAATAGTATCTATAATTTTTACATTCTTCATGAGACGTCAATTATTTGTAAAAAAACATAATTATTTTAAATTTACAGCAGAATTTGATTTAGATGGCAGTCAAGAAGAGAGGTCTGGCGACATTTACAGTGAGTGATACCTAATTACTAAAAAGATAGATATAGACTTTGACTGCTCATTGGCCGAGTGGTTGCAAGTGCAACTGCCGGGCAAGAGATCCGGGTTCGATTCCCCGGTCGGGCTATGTGTTACTGGGTTTAAAAAAAAATCTCAGTAGTAGCACGGAGTACCCTTACATGGGACTCATAACATAAATAGTGGTAAGTGGGTGTTACATTGTACAGTCTCTGCCTACCCCTTCAGGGATAAAAGGCATGATTTTATGTAATGTTATATTAGATATAGACCCAAGGCATAAAGCCATTGACGGGCGAGTAACAGTTTCGATGCTACAGTTGCCAGCGCCCGCCAAGCCCTTTATTTTAAGGGGGGACAATCAACCAACGACTTCTTCCGCCTTGGATGAAGCGACTGGGAGTGTCAGAAAATTACTGACTAAAAACCACCCCGTTCCTACTCCTGCTCTTCGAGCTAAAGCCACGGCAACCCGTTAAGTCTTCCGCGGCACTGTATCGGGCATCAGTCCTACAGAGCTCCTATCTGTGGTGGTCTAATAGAACTTTGAGGCGTGTGTGGAAGACACGTCCACATAAGAATATCAGTCTTTGTTTAATATTAGGCGTATTCTGGTGAGAGCAAGGAGAGAGGGGGATAGAACTTCGGCAACCTCACTCACCGAGCGAAATGACGGAGTAGTGACGAAGAAATTCTATATTCTCTTTTTCTCTTTAACAGATAATTTAACAGGCACCGTTGGAAACATCACTGGTGATTATGGATTAGATGGAGACGAGGACCTTGGTGGCAAAGGAACTGTCGGTGGGTATTTTTTAATTAATTATCTATACTAATATTATAATGCTGAAGAGTTTGTTTTTTTGTTTGTTTGTTTGAACGCGATAATCTCCGAAACTACTGGTTAGATTTAAAAAATTATTTCTGTGTTAGATAGCCCATTTATCGAGGAAGACTATAGGCTATAAAATATCACGCTACGATAAATAGGCTCCAAGCAGAGCGAGTGAAACCACGCGGACGTAGGTAGTGTTACAATAAAGTTCGCAAATAATGTAGGCGTCGCATTTTTAATTCTTTTTTTATGGGATAAGCCGGTAAACGAGCTGACGGATCACCTGATGGTAAGTAATCGGAGTCGCCTATAGACACATGGAACACTAGAGGCGTTACAAGTGCGTTACCGGCCTTTTGAGTATTAGGAACTAGGATTGTTGAGATTCAGGGATTGGGGAGATTGAGGACGGGAGGGGGGGGCGGTTATTAGGCCTCCGGTAACCTCACTTACACGATGAAAAACAATGCAAGCAATTAATACTTCAAGTCGGTTTTCTGGAAAGCAGTGGGAAGGAAGGAAGGAAGATGAAGGAATATTACTTTTTTAATTACAATACTTTCTTTAAGAATCCTTAAAGGACTATAGGTCAAGCCAATATTTGTACGAGTAATACTACTCGTACAAATATTTGTGCATATATTCATTACGAAATTAAGTAAAACAACGTTTACTATATTTTTCTTTATATCAGGTGATTTAACTGGCAGCGTTGGAAACATCACTGGTGACTTTGGATTAGATGGAGACGAGGACCTTGGTGGCAACAGAAATTTCGGGTTCGGTAGGGACTTTTAAATAAACGATGTTAAAATAAAGTTCGTAAATAATTTACTTGTTGCATTTTTTTATTTAATTTGGTTAAATAAGAAAGATCATATTTATCAGTGACAGCTTCGACTCTAGTAGCAGCGATCAGAGATCAGGAGGCTTACTCTTGAATCCAATTCCGATCGATCGCCATTGGTATTGTGAAATTTCGTACTCTTGAGTTGCAACACTAGCGCCCATTGCATCAGTATTGCGTGGATATTGAATGAACTAAATGGTATTGAGTTCGGCTTTATATTCGGTACTCTGAATGCTATTTTAACAGTTACGATACGGATTGTATAGTTTTGACATTGAATAATTATTAAAATATTATTGGATTGAAATTGCATTGACATTGACATTGATTTTAAGAGTAAGCACCCAGAGATCTATGTCTGAGGGTTGCACTAGGTTCTTAAGAAGCTGTAAAGTAAATAAGAGCATTACAAGACAGCCCATGACAGTATCCTACTGGACTATGTGCCTCCTCTATATAAGAGGGGTTTGCTATAATCTCTGCACTTGACAGACGGGGCGAAGATCGCAGATTAAATACTCTAATGCCGGAATACTGAAACGTTACTCAATTTTAAGTCGTGCTTAAATATCGTGCCATCTCTGTCATTTTACAAAGAATTTGTGGAGACAGAACTATACTAAAGCGCGACTTAAAATTGAGTAGCGTTTGAGTATTCCGACATAAGTTTAACAGAGAGCGCTGCTGGCAGGTGATCTTTGTTAATTAATGTGTAATCCCTCAAGATCACCGCAGACCTAGCATCGAGCACTGCTCCGACACGTCTCAAGAACGACTCCGGCACGGTTTCGGCACGGCGCTTTGGAAAAAGGTTGTGAGCACACCGTTGGCGCGCGGGCTAGCACATACAGCTGTTTTATATTGACGTAATGAAATTTAAAGTTCATATTTAAATGACAATGACATTGCTGGAGTCATGCCGGAGCTGTGCTTGTAAGGAGTGCGATGGCCTTTAGTCGGCTTTTATGGAATCCACGGGAAGAGTTAGGCTGCGGACTCACGGCGCGGTTTTCTTCAGCGCCCGCCGCGGTTGTGTGCACGCAGCTTTTGTACCTCTAGAATACAGATTTGTATGAATAAAAACAAAACACATTTAGGGGTGTGTTTGAAGACCGCGGCAGTTGCGGGTGAAAATCGCGTCGTGAGTCCGTAGCATTAGTGACAAATATAGGCTGTTCTACCATCACACGATCACTTTTAAACCATCTACTGTAGAATACATTAACAGAACAAATAGGGCATAACGATCAATGAAACGAATACTTCTAGAAATGTAAAAACCATTGATAAACCATTCAGAAATAATTTAACACAGAAAATAAACCAGTACATGGAAGAATATACCTTAACAATTTCAAAATACGGCTCAGATTGGCGTGAAATAATTGAGAGCGTACATTTCTTTCAGAATTTGTCTAATTAAATTCTACAACAATATTATTTTCAGCTTGATTAAGTTTTAACGGTAATTAGTAGATACAAATTGTAAAATTATGCCTACGAAAGAACTCAATTCCACCTAAAATTATACTTAACCGATAGGTAGGTACTTAGACCCTACTTATTACCATATATTCAGGGTTACCTACCGGCAAATAGTATCTTAGTGAAATACCGAAATACATACCCTTAGTAAAATCCCCTAGAAGTTGTTTTATATTGGCATTTTCCTGCTCTATCTCTGATAGAGGAGAATGAGATGAGAAAGTTTCTCGTCTTACCTTATAGGAACGCTACACTTTAGAACAGGCAAATAGCTTTACTAGAGGATTAACTGACAAACTAACAGACATTTTGTTTTTATTTTATTTATTTATCATTTACTAGCTTCTGCCCGCGACTTCGTACGCGCAATCCCATTTTCCCCCCATTCCAGTTCGTGATTTTCGGTAAAAAGTAAAAAAAAAAGTATTCTATAAAAAGTATCCTATGTCCGTCTCCTGGTTCTAAGCTACCTCCCTGCCAATTTTTATCTAAATCGATTGAGGCGTTCTTGAGTTATAAATAGTGTAACTAACACGACTTTCTTTTATATATATAGATTACAAAGAACAACACATTATAAGCATGAGGTACATAGGCACGTTTAATGTTTAAAAGTGCCATATATTGGTCTAATTGGTATAAATGACGTCGTGGTAGTCCAGAGATTTACGATGCCCTCTTCTCATGCTTAAGAGTGGGGGTTCTTAACCTACCAAAGCCAAACTAAATAAATTATTATGTTTTCGGCTTACTCACGTAATAATCATGAATATGAGCCTCTAGCATGGCTTGAAACTAGTCGAGTTCCTCGTCAAATTGTTACGCTGTCAAGCTGAAAACATAATAATCTACCAAAGATAAGTACCAATGTGACATTTCCCGAGTTATAATATATTATGTACTACCAAAAATTATTTAGACACCACTGACAAACGGTAAAGGAAAACATGAGGAAACCTGGACTTATAATTTCTAATTATAAGTTTAAAATTGCCACCCTGTATTGAGCAAGCGTGGTAATTTATGCTGAAACCTCCGTACCAGAAGATTAATATGGTCAGCAGTGACCAGTTATAGACCGTTGATGTTGATTTGACTTAGAATATAGAAGTTTTATTAATAAGTTAGATTTAGGAGTATTTAATAGTATATAAGCCAATGTCGACAGGGGCTAAATTACTTTATTCGTTACTTACTATGTAATAAAGTCTTAAATTAGAAGCAAATTACAATGGAATTGGCAAAACATATTGATAAAAGTACCCGAATAAAAGAACTTAGAATATATGCAACATAGCTGACTCCTCACAGTCAAACTTGAGTTATCTTAAAGTGTAAGAAGAATCCGCTATATTTTAATCATTTAGATCTCTTTTGATGTTTACTGTATGAGATAATTTGTTTAATAATACATACTCTATGTATACATAGAGTAGTAGATAAGCATATTGATCCTAACACATGCAAACTATCGGATGAACAAACTAACGAAGTACTATCGGTAAAGTTTGTCGCGGAGAACCTAACGGGTAACCGGGGCTCCGGCTCGACGTGCAGGAGTAGGAACGGGGTGGTTTTAGTCGGTAAGAGTCTGACACTCCCTTCCGCCTCATCCAGGCGAAAGCAGTCATTCGATGATTTTCCCCCCTTAAAAAAAATCGGTAAAGTAGGACACTTTTTAAACAAAATCCTGTGACAAAGTCGCTACCTCGTCGCCAAAGTTGTTTTCCCTGTGGTCGCTCGCGTTAAGTGCATGCGATTTCGAATACCGCCTATCGATGGTGGACCGTCAACTTTGTCGATTATACACATGGCTACACATCGAGCTTTACATAACCAGTATAAACTGAACGTTAAATGTGCTGAAAGATGATGCGACGCGACACCAGAGTAAACTGGTTTTGTATATATTGATGTGTGGCCGTGTGTACATATTCGTAATTAGCTACACTACTTACTACAGAATACTAAAAATAGGTTTAATAAATTTAAATAATGAAAATATTTAAATTCGATAGATAACCATTTGTAGCCAAACATGTAAGGAAAAATGCATTAATTAAGCCTGTTTCTAAATTAAAATAAAATTCACTAGTTTCTGCTTGTGGTTTTGTCTACTAGAAATTAAGACATATGATTAGGATCTACTGTCTCGTTGCTCGACTGGTTGCAAGTGCGACTGCCGGGCAAGCGGTCTCGGGTTCGATTCCCGGGTCGGGCAAAGAATTACTGGGTTTTTAAAAAATCTCAGTAGTAGCACGGAATCTTGAAATGTGCCCGGTATAGGCTCACACCCTATTACATGGGACTCATAACCTAAATAGTGAAAAGTGGGTGATACTTCTGTGCGCACATCTGCCTACCCCTTCGAAGATAAAAGGCGTGATGTTATGTTATGATTAGGATCAACATATTTTAAAATGGCTTACGAATATGTCTTACATCATATATCCCAACCCCAACTTCTAATAACACATACACTTTTTATGTAGACCTTTGACTTCTCTAATTTGAAAAGATATATGATTATTTTCGCTAAAAATAAAAACAGCAAAATAGCCTCATTGGCAACCCAACGCAAACACCCTCACAACTTAGCAACCCTGAATAAAAAAAAACAGTAAAAAGAGGTCATCACTGCTTTCCAAAAGTAAACGTAGATAATTTTACTCACGTCGACGGAACCCATTCCATATAAAGGGCGAACTGATCTCCAAATAAAACCAAATAAATACCGAGGCCTAAAGAAGAAAGTACACAGTTCGAGAACCACTTCAAGCAAAAGAAGTTCCTGATACCTGAAGCAAAAATGTTCAAACAATTCGCCATTGTGTTCATCGTCGCCATGATGTTTACCATCGTAAGTACATTAAATAATTTCATTAATATTTATTAAAAAGGCAGCTAAATTGGGCTTCCTTTACTTTCTTTTAGTATAGTATATATCTGTAGTAGTATAGATAAGTAAATGGAAAATTCGCCTTGTGATATTACTGTTTTTTTTTTCCTCAGTAAAATTCATTTCTTACTCCTTGCACCCATCGTTTATTTTTCTCTGTGTAACCCGATTCGTGGTACCTACGTGATCCCTACGGTGACGGCATTAAGTTATGAAGCTTAATTTAATAAATAAATATGTACATTACATAGTAACAAATCTATAACATATGTTTGTTTTAACCACTTTTCTTTTTAAATTTCAGACAATCCAACAATCGGGTGAGTTTTAAGATATGAAACTTATTATTTATTTTATTTTTTATGAAACCATTGTCCCACACTAGTATTCTCTCCTGTGTCGGGGTAGCGTTTACAAACATACAAGTTCACATACACATAACACCCAGATCTAAAACAACAATTTGTGGATTACACAAAGAGTGTTGCTGCGTGTAGGAATCCCCCGCTACACGTTGCGCGGTAGCCGGTTGCCCAGTCACCGCGCCAACCGTGCAGTCGACTT